CCGGGACACCCTTCCTGCACCCCACCGATGGTGCGGAGCCTGCCGCACCGCCGGGACGGGGCTTGGAACAGCCGGGATGGGGCTTGGGACCTGCTCGGTGGGACTGGTTCTGCTGGAATGGGGCTTGGGCCGACCGGGAGAGGGGCTGGTCTGACCGGGAAGGGGCTCGGACCGGTTGGGATGGGGCTGGACCAGCTGGGAAAGGGCTTGGAGCAGTTGGAATGGGGCCGGGCTGGGTCCAAATGGGGCTTGGATCCTTAGGAGGGTGGTGATGGGATGGAGCTGGGGAAGGGATTCTGCTCTGGCTGGGGAGGCTGGTCCAGCTGGGATCAGGCTGTTGTGGTTGGGATGAGGCTTAGAGCTGGCTGGGATGGGGCTTGGGATGTGGCTGGTCCTGAGGGAGAGGGCTGGGGTCTGTCCCTGCCTTGGGACTCTGGAGGGTGTCGCTTTGGGTAGCAGGGTGTCAGGAACAGGTCCATCTGTTGAAGGTCCATCTGAAGGACCTGCTGACCCCGGTGGTGTTCCCAGGCTGGCAGCAGGAATTGCCCCTCGCTGCCCCACTGGCTGGGACTGGCATGAGTGCCACCAGGAGCTGCTCTATCAGCAATGGTGATTTCCCTTATCTGCTSGTATTTGCTGGAGGATTAGAGTGAGGATGAGATTAGCTGTGCCTTTCCTGCACCCCCACTTGCCCAGGCTGCTCCTTCACTGCCAGCTCTCCCCTAGGAAGGGACATRCACCTGTCTGTAATTGCTGTGGGATGGGGGCAAAGGGAGAAGAAATAATCCTAAATCAGCTGCTGAATTTGTTCTCCTCCATCCTGAAGGGGGAGAAATCAGGAGTAGGATTTGTCATCTTGTCTCTCCCTGCATCCTTGCTTGTCACTGCTGCTTCCCTGCTTTCCATGGATGGGTGGTAAGCACCCATAGCACCAGCTGAGCTCCTGCCCTGGCTATTCCCTGGATTGCTCTGCACTTCCTCCCAGACTGAACACTGAGCACTGAGCCCAGGCTTGGCTATCTTGGAATGCTGGAAATGATGTTGCTTTCTCCTGGAATTGGGTCYCCGTTGTTTAATAAACCCCGTTGTTTAATAAACTTCAGGGAAGTCATTCCCAGTTTCATGGTAAAATTGCGTGGCCTTGCCTTCCCGGCAGAGCTTCTGGAGGGCAACCCTTAGACTTTGTTCAGGGTGTCCTTGTGGAAGCAGTGCTCTCCTTTGATGTCCCTGGGATTACACCCTCAGTTCTCTGCTGAATCACCTCAGGGGCAAGATCTCTCAGTGGCTTGCAGGGAGCAAAGTCAGCAGCACAAGGAGGCTTTTCCCTGCCCTCTCAGCTCCCAGATGGAGCTCAGCTTTGCTGAAGGTGTGTGGGGATTAAGGGGAGCTGAAGAGCCSAGTGGGATTTCTGCTGGTTATCCAGGGATTAGCTCATCTTCGTGCACGTGYCTGTGCTCCACCATGCGTTCCCAGAATTGTGCTCCGTTGGATTTTGCCTTGTGTTAAGCCTCCATCATTCCTGCTGAGTTGCAGAAGGGTGGGAAAAGGTTTCCTCACCCTTTTGGAGCCAGGTCCAGCCTGGCATCAAGTAGGGAGCACAGAGCAGGTGCAGAATTTACAAACAAACCCACCAGATTCCCACCAAAGGGGAAGACAGATGGAGCCTGCCTGGGCTTGGAATTCAGTGGGGGAAATCCTTCAGGCTTCTTGAGCAGAACAGCAGGTGCAGAGGTGATGGGGAAGGCAGTGACCCCCGAGCTGAGGTGGRGAGCAGCAGGCACTGGCTGCAGGCAGAGCTGTGGCCCCTTCCCCCTCACTCCTGCTTTGGCTGCTGTGCAGGGGTTGCGTAGTTGGAAGGAGCTGAGCTGCTTTTTGCCTGCCCAGACCTGACACCTGCGGCACAGGGGATTGTTTGGGTGGGGGTTATGTTTGGGGGGACTTTTCCTGAAAATGGGAAAGAACAGCCAGGATAGGGCCTCAGCACCGTGCCATCACTCAGTGATGCCGAGACGTGTCGAGCTCTTGGGCACCTTTTCTGACACAAGTTTTGAGCCCCCCATCCTCACTTTGCTGCTGCTGAGCTGCTCAAATATCCCCAGTCCTGGTCACTTGAGCTCGTGCTGGCTTTTCTTCAAAGCCCTGCGACTCATCCCTCCCTCAGAGGGTCTGTCCACCCCCTCCCTGTGCCCCTCTCCAGCTCAGGTGTCAGCACTTGGGGTTCCCCGCTCTGCAGGGGCCTGCTCGGGGGTGTTGGGAAGGTTTGGARCCAGGGTTTGGAGCAGCTGGGATGTGCTGGTGAGAGCAGATGCTTGTGCTGCTGCTGTCTGGCTTGTGTTGAGGGTGCCTGAACCTGGGATGAGCATGAGCTGCAGGGAAGCTGGAAAAACCCTGTWTTAGTTCCATCCACACAGCAAAGGTGTGGGGAGCATCTTTCTGAGGGTGTTTGGATCTTTTTGGGCTGAGGTGTGGATGTTGCTGGTGGGGACCAGGTGGCTCCTGCCTCCATCTCCTCTCCAAGGATGAAGGCATGTCTCTCTCCTTGAAATGCCACAAAGTGGGGATGTGCTGGAACCCTGCTGGGGCAGAGAGCTCAGGGGTGAGCCCCATAGACTGKCACAGGTCCCTGGCACAGAGAAAGCTGTGTGTGCCACGGGCAGCATGGCTGGGCTGAAGCTGGAGGAGTTTCCCAGGRCTTTGCTCCATGAGGAGATGGTTCCTCTGGGAGGATGTTCTTTGGGAGAGGAGACAGCTGAGGCTCCTCCATCATGTCACATCTTCAGGTACAGGTCTGATGGAGCTTCTGAGTAGGCAGAGGGCAGAAYATTCCTTAATCCCCAGCTGACTCTGAGCCCTTCCCTGGCAGATTTTCCCCCGGGCGCTGTCCTGTGCTGTTCTGCTGCTCCTGCTCGTGGCTGTGCTGAGCAGAGGCAGGAGGTGCAGCATCGCCAAAATCCTCCGGCAGTACCGTGCCGTCATCTTCCATGAGATCCAGAACCTGGTGAGCTCTGCTGGCAGCACTGGGGAAGGGGCTGTGCTTAAATGGGGGATTCTTACTCCAAGGGGGAGGCCCCGATCCTGCGAGGTGCTGGATCTTCTTGCTTTATTTCTCCAGAAAAACCTGACAGGGTCCGTGTACAGGAGCGGGAGGGCCGGGCCCGCTTGTCGATCGGACAAGGTGAGCACTGAGGGACGCGGGGCTGGGGCTGGGGCATGGGCTGAGCCCCCAGGGAGCCTCCGTCCCTGCCGGGCCCTGCGCTTCTCTGCAGGACCWGAAGATCCTGCTGACCATCTACAACATCAGCCTGTCCCTGCGGGAGGGGCCGGCCCTGCGGGGCCCCGAGGAGCTGGCGGTCTGGAGGGTGGCCAGGAACACCGACTTCGTGCTGCGGGAGAACTGCAGGAAAATCACCAAGGTAGGAGGTGCTCTGCTTCCAGCCCCGCGGCGGCTCCCAGGGCTGTGCCTGTTGAATGTTCTCCTGGCTGCCCTGGAGGAGTCTCCAGGCTCTGCCTGCAGGTTCTGGGAGCTGGGGAATGCTGGTGGCACATCCACCGTGGTGAGCTTTAGCTCAGCCAGGGAGGGGAGTTCGGTTGTGGCAGCACGGGACAGGCTGAGGGGGTTTAGCACCAAATCCAAGTTGTTTTTTTCACCCGTGTCGTGGTGCCATGGCTGGTGGGAGCACAGGGTCTTGTCCTGATGGGATTCTCACACTGTAGGGGCATTTACCCAGTCCTCTTCTTGTTCCTGGGTGCTCATAGGCAAGAATTGGGATTTCTCCCAAAAGGCCTGGTCTGGGTTCCTCTGGCATCCCCGAACTTCTGTCGGGGAAACCCCATCCAGGAGGATTGCTCTGGCAGCACCAGCAATTCATTAACCACAGGGAAAGCCCAGGGCAGGGAAATGCCAGCTCCCAGCTCTGCCTGGCCCTGGCACGGTGCTGGGGCTGTCCCCCTGCTGGGGACATTGGCTGGGGACAGCCCCTCCTGGGGTTTGCTGCTGTGGGACGGAGCTGCTGCTGCTCTGGACACCTGGCCCGGTGTCTGTGGATGTGCTATGGGGAGCACGCTGCCAGCTCAGGCAGCGACAGCCACCCCTGGGGACTCTCGGGGACCTGAAACCCATGTCCTTGCCATGGCCATGGGCAGTTTGGCCCCCTCAGCCTTGCAGAGTCTGCGTGCGGTGGATTTTGTCCCCTGACTAACGTGTCTGTGGTGCGGGGGGGTTTCTGCTCCCTCCCKGGGCACACGGACCGCAGAGCCCACGGCGCAGCGCCCCGGCACAGCCCCGGCACGGGGCACCCGGCCGCAGGAGGAAGCAGCTGCGGGACATCGGGAGGAAGGTGGAGCGGCTGGCGACCTGCTGGGAGAAGCTCAATGCCCTGCACGCCCCTCGCCAARCCCCCTGGGACTCGTAGGGACGCCCTCGCCGCCCGCCGGGGGRGATGTGCTGCTCCAGCGCCAGCGGYTCCTTTGGAAASCTGGGACAAASCCAGCCCTGAGGGCAGCGGGGCTGCTGCCAGCAGATGCCCGAGCTGAACTCATCCTCCTGCTTCAAGCGGTGCCCAGGGACCGGATCCGCCACCCGTGGTTGGGGCTGGCAGGTCGGTTTGCTGTGGGATGGCTGTGGCGGAAACCTGGAGCTCCAGAAACACTGGGAAGAAGAATGGAAAGAACCGAAAATAGAAAGTGAAGCGTGGATTGTGCCTCACTCCTGGCCCTGCGGCACCGGCTGTGCTCTTGGGGACAACGGGTGTGTTTTGGGGCAGAAAAAACACATGGAAAAATGGTTCTGGGGGCTCTGCTGAGTGTGGGATCACCCGCAGGGCTCKGAGGGTGTCTGGGCTGTGGACAGGGACAGGGGTCCCTGAGGCAYTGCTGGGACCTGCAGAGCAGCCGGGCACCCGCAGGGCACAGGGAAATCAGGGTGCATCACTTGGGAAGCCCAGGGAGTTCTGGTATCCAAAAATCCAAGGCAGGAGCGGGGGCTCGAGGCCAAGGCTCAGGAATGTGGCAGGGCTGGAACTGCGGGTTCCCCAGCGGGGAGGCAATGCTGGGGTGTGGGGTGAGGTGAAGGGCATCCTCCTTTGTCTCTGTGCCCTGCCAGCACCCCGTCTGTGATCTCCACTGCTCTGTAGGGCAGCAAACGGCCTCTGGGAAGCCAGAAATAAAACCTTTCCTTCTCTGGAAGCACTTGGGGYGCTTTATCTGGTGATCCAGGGCCTCTTGTGCTGTGGAGGGAGCTGGCASAGTGCAGGGCTGGGCATGGGGGAAGCCCAGTCAGGAACCCACAGCAGCGGGGACACTGTGGCATCCTCCCTCTGCTCACTCTGCCTGCATTCCTGATGTGTGAGCCGTGGAAGGCAGGAGCTGCTTTCTCGGAAGGATTTCCCGGGAAATTTCCAGTATTTCCCTGGAARGTGTGYCTSTGCCTCAGTTTCCCCRGGCTGTGGATGCTGTCGCAGCCCTGAGCGGGGATGGCTGTGGAGGACACGAGATGGCAGCAGCGGGCTGCGAGCGGAGCCGGGCACTGCCCACGGCCGCACCGGCATCGTCCCCACCGAGCCTGGGCCACCGAGCCCGGYCCGGGCAGTGGCCACGGGGGCAGGGAGTGCTGCCGGTGAGGGGGACACCCACCCCTGTGCCGGGAGGGGTTGGGGGACGGCTTYCCCCAGGGGTTTCTGTGGGGTTCAAACCGGGCGGGGGAATTCAGGGAGGGGAGGGCAGGGAATGCTCAGGGGTCCTTGCTCACCCCCTGCCTCTGGAATTGGGCTGGAAGGAGCTGGAAGGGCTGCACAGCCGGGGCGGTGGGTGGAGGAGAGCCCCGGGGTGTGGCAGGGTGCAGGGATTTGCTGGGGCAGGACTGGGACACTGGTTTGGGGGTGACAGCAGGGGATGCAGCTCTTTTGGGGTCCCTGGAAGGTGCCGTCTGCCACAGCTCAGCACATCCCAGTGCCAGAGGGCTCCCGGTGCCATGCTCCTCCCCAGTTGGCCCCATCCTGCCGGGGCTCCTTCCTCTCAGCTCCRTCCTCCTCCTCGGGAGCGAGCGCTGCTCTTTCTGCTGCCTCCACTGGAGGTTTTGCTCTGGTTTAGCTCCCACATTCATTTTTTTTTTTTATTCCCCCTCCTTTATCCCAACTGCCACCCCTCCAGAGCCCGCTAGCATCCCAAAATAGCCCTGTTGACGCTTGATATCCCATGGATGGGGCTGGGGGACGCGGCGGGACCTGATAGCTCATGCACCACAGGATCGGGACGGCGCTTGGGGCAGGGTGGCTCCCAGCCTTTTTCTTTATCGAGGCTGGAGCAAAGTCCCCCCTCGMAGTGACCCGTCAGCACCTTCCCAGATAAACCAGAGCAAAAACCACCTCCCTTTACTCCCCTYCCCTCCCAGGCAGCTGCTGCCGGGCTGGGAACCCGGTGGGGCAGCAGGAATGAGTGCATGGAAAGGAAGGAAAGAGTGAAGGAAGAAGCAACAGGGAGGGAGGAGGAAAAACGAGGTCGAAGCCATGGTGGAATCACAGCAAAAACAGCCGGAAAAAGGAAACAGGCCCTGAAAAGTCAAATAAAAATAGCAGAGAGGCGAACCCAAGTGTGCAGCACATGGGAGTGAGCGCATTTCCTTCGAGGGCAGCACCGCACACTCCCGGCTGCTCTGGGGGGGCCGCTCTGATGTGGCTYCAGCTGCTGCCATGGTCCCCCCAGTCCCCCCGAGCTGTGCCAGCCACTTGGCAGCAGCTCAGCACCCAGGGGTGCCTCTCTCGGGGTCCCTGTGTGCCCCTGGGCTGCAGGGRTGTGGCAAAGGCTGCACACGGGTGYCAGAGCTCGGGGGATGCAGGGCTTGGGGGCTCYTGGCAGTGCCCACCCCCTCCTTGTGCCCTGTGCCACCGGCGCCGCTTTGCCAGATGCATCCGAGCGCTGTGCGAGCAGCACAATCTCGGCTTCCTCCCCTCCCTGCTTGTTTTGCAATCACAGCAGGGTCCCGCTGGGAGCTGGGGGTTGGTGGAGGGGCTGCGGGGACAGGGATGGGGGCGAGGATGGGGGCTGGTGCTCCTTGCCAGGACCAGTGGGCTCCACCCCGATGCGGCTTTGGGCTGAGCGAAGAGGCAGCAGCAGAACCCAGCGTGGGGGGCTCAGTTCTGGGGGATCAGAGTGGGGTGCAGTGCCCAGGGGCTGTGCTGCAGATCCTCACCGGGGCCCTGTGCCCAGGGGCTGTGCCTGGGGAGCTTTGCTGGGGTCCACACTGGGGGACCATGCTTGGGGACCGTGCTGGGGCTCCACAAAAGCACATTTCACCCCTCCTCACCACCGCTGTCCTGCTGARACGCAGCTGTCCCCGAGCCACCACCATCTGGGGGTACCAACAGCCCCCCTTGGCTCTGGGGGACCCTTGCCCACTGAACCCCCTGCTTCAATCCTCAGTCCCTTTGCAGCGGGGCTGGGGGCCCAAGCCCTGGCAGCCCTGGCACACGCAGGCTGTGTCTGATGGAGCAGAGCAGCGTTTTGTTCTCTCCCCATCTCCCCGCAGCTCGGTGAAGCTGCTGAAAGCCCAGATTTACAGTGTGATAAACGCTGGAGGCTCTGCTAAATATCTGACTGCTCCATCCTTTGGAGAGCGACCGCTTTGGAGGAGCGGGGAGCACCGGGCAGCACACCCGGAGGCAGAGCAGCGGGTCCCAGGGAAGAGGGATGGCCGGGACTGGGGCTGATGGAACTGTGCCGTGACCCAGGTGGGTCCCAGCACCCCTGGCCATGGGTCACTGGGCGCCTGAGCCCTTCTGGCCAGCAGGAAAGCACTGACCCCCATCATTTCTTGGGCCTCTTGCTGGGTTTGGAGCATCTGCCGACCAGATTGTGCCGCGGCGTGCCGGGGTGCCCGTGCCAGGACATGCCAGCCGGGAGGCGGGGTGTGCCCGGCCCCAGCTCCGGGTGCGCTCCCTCCCCGAGCCCTCATCTCTCGCTCCCCTACTGGGTGCCGCGGGCTGCTCAGCGGGAGCCTGCGTCCTCATCCTCGCTGGGAAGGGCTGGGAGATGCTGAAAAGCGGCTCTGCCTGCTCCGCTGTCTCCGACAGCGAGGGGCTCGCAGCCTCGGGGCTGTCCCTGCATGAGGGTGTGAGTGAGTGAGTGAGTGAGTGCTGGGATGTGCGCGCACGGATGTGTCTGTGCATGTGTGTCCGTGCATCACATGTGTGTGTACCTGTGTGTTTGCTCATGTGTGTACCTGTGTGTGTGTCCGTGTGTCCGTGCATCACACGTGTGTGCATGTCCATGTGTGTCCGTGCATCACATGTGTGTGTACGTGTGTGTTTGCTCATGTCTGTACCTGTGTGTGTCCGTGTGTCCGTGCATCACACGTGCGTGCGTACCTCTGTCCATGCATTACACGTGTGTGTGTGTGTCCATGTGTGTCCGTGCATCACATGTGTGTGTGTGTCCATGTATGTCTGTGCATCACATGTGTGTGTACATGTGTGTGTGACCATGTGTGTACCTGTGTGTGTCCATGCACCACACGTGTGTACTTGTGTGTGTGTCCATGTGTGTCTGAGCACACACGCGGTGCTGTGAGTGCATGCAGGGCTGTGCACACACGCGTGTGTGATTACAGGTGTGTACACACGTGTGTCTCCTCTCCACGGCCGTTTCCCGATCCGGGGCTGCAGCCGCTGTCCCCGGGCCCCTCCTGCCGTGCCGGGGCTGCCCTCGGAGCCAGCCGGGCTCAAACGGGGGCAGCCGGCGGGGCTGGGATGCCGGGCTCAGCGGGAGCGCCGGCTCCCTCGGAGGCTGGATGCTGCCGATCCGGCCCGATGGTATCGCGGCTCCCCGGGCGGCTGCCGGCTCCGGYGGCTCTCGGCACCCAGCAGGAGCCGGGCAGCGCTCAGGGACCCGGCCCCCGCTCCGATGGCTCCGCTCTGTCATGGGGCACATCCACACCGAGCTGCCAAGAAGCTGGGGGGCTGCTGGGGCTCGGCTGGGGACGTGGGGACCGAGCTGCCTCCCGCCCCCGTGGCCCCTGGCCCCGCTGCTCAGCCCGCAGCATCCTGCGCCGGGGCCCATTGTTCGGCCGCGCCGGGCTGCGGGGCAGGATTTCTTTGTCAGAGCTCGGCAATATTTTATTCTAACAATTAACCAAACACGCCCGGGCCCCCAAGCCTGTTTGTGATTATTGGAGGGCGAATTCCCCAGCCTCTCTCCCTCTTGGTGCTGGCTCCGCCTGGGGCTGCACCGGGTGGAAGGGATCCAGCCCCTCTCCCACCCGCTCAGGGTTGGGGACCCCCAGCCGCGCCGACAGCCCCCCACTCCTGCAGCCAGCGCTGGGGGAYTCGGTGGCCTCGACCCCCTCGGGAGCCCGCGAGCATCGCCCGCATTGTCTCGGCAGCAGCGGGATCCGAGGGGGCGCAGGGGCAGCGGTGATTCATGGCAGGGGGGATGTGAATCACAGCCCTCGCTCTCCGGGCAGGATGCGGCCCCGCGCTCCCAGCTTGCCGCATGCCAGCCCTGGACCGCAGGCTTTGTCCTCCGCAGGGTGGAAGCGGCTYGCTGCCCGTGGTGGGATGGGATGGGGCCGCTGCTCTTCCTGGGATGTTGGCGCAGCTTTCCCAGCTCCAGCTTCGGGGTGGGATGAGGGTGCTGTGGGCTGCGGGTGCCTCCTGCATCYTGGCTCTCTCCGAGGCTCCTCGCCRTGCTTGGGCAGCATCCTCATCGCCGCACCATTGGTAAAAACAGTTGGCGCTTCCCCCTGCAAACTCTCCCGGAGACTGAAATGCYCAGCGCAGGTTATCAAATCCCCATAAAGTCCTTTGCTTGGGCCGTCTCCTTGCTGCTGCAATTCCACGCTGCAGGCCATGGATGCTGAGCTCCTGTCCTGCAGCCGCGGCCTGAGCCTGCAGCCCCGTCCAGGTGCTGCCCGCTGTGGGCAGGGCGGTCTGGAGCCGAGGGTCGGGGTGGGCCCTGCGGGTGATGCTGCTCTCTGAGAGTGAAGCAGCGGGAGCCAGTGCCCTGCAGAGCCACACTCTGGGCTCGCTGGGGGCTCGCAGCCATCCCTAGGGAGATACCCTGAGCAGGTCGTTTCGCTGGCTGCTGCCGAAAATGAAACTGTGTAGTTTTCATCTTTTCTATCTACCCTAGATTCTGGGATGTTGAGCCACTCGGACACATCAGGGGGTTTTCAGCCGCAGGGTGGGAGGATGGAGAGGGGAGCAGCGCTGCGGTGCTGACCCAGCTGTGCCGGCATCCTCGACAGCTGGAGCCAGGCACGGGACAGGAGTGAGGGCAGGCAGCATCTTCCTTTTGCTGTTCCTGCCGGCGACATTCCCTGGCCCTCCCTGTGGCTGCACTGTCTAAACCTGCTCCTTCAGAGCCAGGGCTCCYTCCTCAGCGCTGCTGTCTGGCCCCGGGCTCTCAGCCTGATCCTGGATCTTAAAATACAGCGCGTCATCGAAGCAGAGGCGCTCGGGCGGCTGGGCCAGGCAGGGGAGCCGGAGGGCGGCCCCGGTGAGCAGCCCGGCGAGCAGCGAGGCGCCGATGGCCACCGCCAGCCCCGCTGCCTGGCACAGCGCCTGCCCGCCCGCCCCGCGGCCACCCCACTGTCCCTCCAGCACCTCGCTGGCATTGCCCCCAGTGGGGGACAGAGAGGATTGGGACCCGGAGGTGTCCTTGGATGCCACCAGGACGGCCACAACGCTGGCTGCGGCACCGAGGATGCCGGGCAAGCCGTGGAGGTTGTGGATGCCGCACTGGTCGTGGAGTGTGAGCTTCCTCCCCAGGAGCGGGGTCAGGAAGCTGAAGCCAAGGACACACACCACGGCTGAGAGGCTGCCCAGGGCAAGAGCGGCCACTGGTGGCATGGCCATGTCGGCCACCGCGCCGATGGCCACCCCGCCGGCCAGGCTGCCGTTCTGCAGGTGGCCGAGGCTGAGCTTGCCGTCCCTCTCCAGCAGGCTGGAGGCCACCACGGTGGTAACGGCGCTGGCACTCATGGCCAGGAGGGTGTTCAGGATGGCGCGGTGCTGGGCATCGCCCGGCTGGCAGGGGACGGCCACGAAGCTGGGCCAGAAAACCCAGAGGATGAGCATCCCCACCAGGGACATGAGGTCAGAGCGGGCTGTTGGGGTCTCCTTAGGGTGCAGCGGCTGCTTSGCTGCCCTGAACAGAGCCTTGGACACGCCAAGGCCGAAATAGCAGGAGAAGACGTGGATGGTGATGGTGCCGCCCACATCCAGAACGCCCAGGCAGGTGACAATGAGCCACTCGCTGGCCAGGTARACGGGGATTTCACAGGTGGCCATGGCGAGCAGCTGGCAGGGACTGGCCCTGCCCAGGATGGCCCCCACGGAGATGAGCACTGTCACGGCAGCAAACTCMGAGATGAGGACTTTGTGGAGGTCCAGGTGGACCTGGCCATGGTGGAAGTGGTGGAGCAGGCCCTGCAGCACCAGCGCCCATTGCATGGAGAAGTTGAGCAGGAGGAAGTTGTGGGTGAGGGCACTGAACCCATAGCGGGGCAGGAAGGCCAGCAGGAGCCCCAGCCCCACCACCAGCATCACCTGGATGTCCTGGAAGAAGGGGAAGGTGCTGTAGACCCCATTGGCCACCAAGTTGGTATCCTCTGCCTGCGCCGAAGGCTCATCATAGGTGACGAAGAGGGCGAAGAAGAGAAGCAGGGCACCCTGGAAAAGCCCCAGGAAGAGGGGCAGGAGGCGACGGGGATGGGTGGAAGGTGACACAGCCATCCCGGAGTGGACAGGAGGGGACGGTGGTCAGTGGTCAGCAGGGCACTGGTGTGAGGTGACAGCCCAGCAGCGCTTCCAGGGTGATCTCTGCTCGCTCCTACATCGGGGATTTTATGGCCACGGTTAATTTTTAACCAAAGATCTACATTTATGTGCCAGAAGAGGAGGGGTTTGCCCTTCCCTTCTTTAAACACAACACCMATAAAACAGCCACATGTTCTTGTTTGGCCGCCATAAAAGTGGACATGAGGGGCATTATGATTTTGAAGGGAAACAAGAAAAACCTGTGGCGAGGCAGATGAGGGAGAAGGAGTTTGGAGAGGAACCAGCCAGGAATGGGGGTACATGGCAATGTCCCCCATTTAACTTATCCCCATCCAGGAGTGGGGTCCTCGCTGCTGCAGCCCTGAAGTGATGGGGCTGGCAGCTCAGGCAACACAAGTCTGGCCCTGGCACTGCCACCACCCCAATCTGTGGGGTGATGCACGTTTTCCTCATCCACCGCTTGGATCTCGTGAAGCGCCATAAAGCTCCGAAGCCAGGGCTGAAAAGATCATTTTCTCACAGGTTTGCMTTGGCTTAAATGGCTGGAAATTCATTAACAATTAGCGCGCGAGAAAAACAAAGCCCAGAGCAGCCAAGCAGCTACCCCGAAGTTTCTGGGTTGCTGCTTAGTGTGACATTTTGCCAGTGAATGTCTGGAAAAAAAAAAATTCGAAAAAAAATATATGAGAACCACAAGAACAAAAGGCAGAAGGGTTGGTAAATATTTGTTCCAGAGAGGAGATATTTTTGTGCTGTCCCTGATCTCAACACCCCTGCCGCGGGCGCTGGCTCCGCGCCGCTCTTCGTCATTGTTACTGGAGGATGAGGCAGGCGAGGGCGCAAAATGGGAAACAATTGTTGAATAATCTGCGCGAGGCTCCTCTGCCAAACCCTCCCCGGCCATTTTTCAACCCAAAGATGCTGGAAATGGGGGCAACAGAGAGGAGAAGGTGGTGCTTTGAAGGCTTCGCCTTTGACGGGTGAGAAGGGGTTGTGTTGCACCCAAGCCATGGCCAACGGCAATGGAGGGGTGGTGGGAACTGTGGGAGTTTTGGGGTGGGAGTCAGGATGCTTTGTCTGCCCCTAACATGTCCCTGCTGCTTGGCTGGGGATGCTAACGGCAGTGGGTGATCCCACGGGGATCCCTCACCCACAGAAATGTGGGGTTGGAGTCTTCATGGTGCCATTCATCTATTTTTGGTATCCCCAGGGTGGCTGGGGATGGGATGGGATGGGATGGGATGGGATGGGATGGGATGGGATGGGATGGGATGGGATGGGATGGGATGAGTAGGAAGAACACTTCCATTGCTCCTGCCTCTCACAGGGGCACAGCCTGACCCCCCTCCCGTGGCTGCTGCCAGCTTCCAGCTCCACCAGGCAGGGGCATGAGGGACAAGAGGACACTGTGAWGCCTCCCTCACTCCTTGCTGGTATAAAAAAGGCAAAGATAGGGGATTTCAGGCCTCAGCCCCTTACCTGTGACCCTTCACATGCCATGCCAGCCCATCAAGGGGATTTTCAAGGAGCCAGCCTGGTGCAGCGAAACCTCTCTGGTTGTTTGTGGGTGARATACAAGTCCAGGGAGATGCTTAGAGCAAGTTGTGCTCCTGAGATGGAGGAGCTGGGCTGCTCTTCCAGAGCTGAGGAAGCTGAGCAAGCCCAGCAGTGGTTGGTCTCCTCTCAGKGTGGCCAGAGGTGGGTACTGCTCACTCGCTTCTCTCCTGCTCCCCACACATCCCAGCCTGCTCTTCCCRCTCTGGTTTGGGGCTCTTTTAATGTGTGGTAGAATCAAATGCTAAAAKGAAAAGCTATGAACAGGTCTTTTAAGAAACAGCGTGCCTGGAAGACTTCAAGGTTATGGCTCAGTGCCTCCTGCAAGGAGAAGGAGGAAGATGCCAGAGGGATGCATCCTTCTGGAACATCCCAGCACTGCCGGGTCTGCTGCACAGGACAAACAGCACATTGGGAGGTTTGGGATGTAAATACTCTCCTGGATTTGGCCATCACTTCTGGCAAGGGGCTGAGGTGTGGGGCACCAGGAGGTCGGGGTCCCTTGCTGGACTCTGTAGGGTCAGGAGATGCTGGGGGGCACACGGGGAGGTGCCTGTACAGGGCTGGGCTGCCGGGCTCGGTGCTTGGGGTCAGGGTGTTGCAGGGGGTGGCACGGCTCGGTCAGTGAGCATTGGGGAGTTGTGGGCTCAGCAGGATGTCCTCGGAAACACAAACTTTTTCCACCTGGAAATCTTGCTCTGGCAGCACTTGGGGATTTGGGATGTTCCTCYGGGCTCCTGGGATTCCCTGTGACCCACAGCCCCTCACAACCCTACCAGCAGCACCCTCAGCTCTGCCACATCCACGGGGCCATCCAACACCACATTCCTTGGATGAGCTCTTTGGTACCACCATYCACTGCCCTTGGGGAAAGTGGACCCTGTGAGCCTTTCCATATCCCAAACCCGATGAGGCACAAACAGCAGTGATGCCCAAGTGCTCCCCGGACCAAAGACCCCGCAGCTGAGAGGGGGGAAACCCTGCTGGAGCACAGATTAAAAAATAACCTTTATGGCACCCATAAAAGAAGGTCGAAATTCCAAGAGGTCGCTGGGAAGGTGAAAGTCCCCCCTGGCCCTGCAGCACCCCTGAAGGCAGCGAATGATTAACCCCACAGTGCAGGGTGCACCCTCGGGATGCCACAGCCTCCGTGGGGAGAAGGTCCAATCCTTCCAGTAACATTTTCCAGGCACACCGAGTTTTCTCTTGGCACCAAAGGAGAAGGGATGGAGGAAGCATCTGGCGAGGGCCTGGGCAGCAGGGAGGGAGGGGAGCATTGAATTCCACCCCCCACATCCCCCTTTCACTGGGGGGGCAGTTGTTTTATGGCAGGAGGACTGGGGAACCATTTTAGCAGGATCCACGCTGGGACTGCTGGAGGAGTTCCCYGCTGAGGGCTGGATACAAAGAAAAGCTGAATTAACCGAGGGTCATATAAGGCAACAGGATCTGACAGATCCGAGCCAATATATGCTGGCAGCAGCCAGTCCATGGCACTGTGAGAAACACTCCTGCAAATTTAACAAATCCCCACGGTCTAGAAAGTCATGTACAAGAAATTACTAATGAAGGGATCTAGTCATATCTGGATTTCCAGACGTTGGTCGTGCTCCTGCCGCGTTCTGCAGGCCATATAAGTACATGGATCTGAATCTCGGGTGCTGGAGAGAGGCAGGATGGTTCTGATCATCTTCTCTGACCTCCTGCGTCAGACGAGGGCTCCCGGCGAGGAGAGGATACGGGGTGGTGGTGGCTGGATCCTGCAGCTGGGCTGGGGATGGATGTTGGATGGGTGGATGGATGGATGGATGGATGGATGGATGGATGGATGGATGGATGGATGGATGGATGGATGGATGGGTGGATGGAGGGATGGAGGGATGGATGGATGGATGGATGGATGGATGGATGGGTGGATGGAGGGATGGATGGATGGAGAAACCTGAAGGGGCGCAAGATTTGGGAATGCTGCTGTGGCAATGGAGTGCTCCCATCACCCAGATGGGTGCTGGGGACCCACTGCTGGGCAGGAGGGAGCAGGAACTCCAAATCCATCCCTGCAGGACAGCACTATGCCATGGGAAGGGAATGCTGGCAGTACCCCCAGCCTCGGCATCACTCTGAACCCACTGCTCCCTCCAGCCTGCAGCACCCCAAAATTCCCCCTTCCCTAAAGATCCTGCCAGAAAGCCGGGCTACCTGGGCAGCTCCGATTGTTCCCTCCCCTCTGTAGGTTCTACACCGCCCCGCTGCTGCCTTAAGGAGCCGGGAGTGATCACCGGGAATGCTCTCAGAGCTCCGGAGCAGCTGTGACCCCGCGGTGCTGGCTGTCAGGCGGCGGGCAGGGGGCCAGCCCCCTCCTCCCCAGCCCCTCGCAGCCGGGTCCTGCCGGGTGGGGGGACACAGAGCCCGACAGACGTCACCCCGGCATCACGCGGTCCGAGAGTGGCCTTCTCCCATCTTGTTAGCACATTGTGTAACACAACATGTGGAGGCGCTGGGACCGCACACGCATGCACTCCCCGACAGCCCAACCGGGGAAAAGAGGGAGGAGGGGGGGAGAAAAAAAAAAAAAAAAAAAAAAAAAAAAAAAAAAAAAAAAAAAAAAAAAAAAAAAAAAAGGAAGCAATTTAAGCTTTGAATCTTTCTCTTTAAAATGTTCTCATGGCTTCATTAGAATTTGCAGCCACAGAGGCTTTGAAGAGCATGGTATAAGGAGTGAAACATCTGGAAAAATTAGGATTAATGAAAACATAATTCCCAAGACTAAAGGAAAGATTAATCCTGCGTTACCACTTGTGTGTTCCACAGCTTTTCCCCAGCTCGTAACGCTGAACTTATTAAATCGCCCTGAGCTGAGTTTTCCTTTTCTCTCTCCCTCCCCTATGGAGCCCAATGGAAGTGGCTGATGCCAAATGTAGGGAGAACCAACTGTGCTGGTCAGCGCTGGTGTGAGCGTGTCCAGCCCTGTGGCCAGGTGGGCACCCACTGCCCAGCACACCTGMGGGGGTCCCTGGGCGGGGATGGGGGTCCAGAACATTCTGGGGTGATCTGCACTGGGGTGGTGGGTGCTGAACCCCATTGGGGCTGCACCTGCTCCTGCCTGGGGTCCTGAGCAGGGTGGGGACTGACCAGTGGGAGATGTTGAGGAAGCAAAGATAATTCAATGAATGCCCTGCTCTGCTGTTGGATAATTGGCCAGCATGAGACTGAAGTGGCCCTGAAGTGCTGGCATCTCTGGGTGGACTTTCTGTGAGAGCAAGGTGCCATGCTGTGCCACTCTGTGCCATTCCATGCTCAGCCATGCCATGCTGTGCCATTCTGTGCCATTCCATGCTCAGTCATGCCATGCTGTGCCATTCTGTGCCATGCCATGCTGTGCCATTCTGTGCCATTCCATG